TCTCCATATCATGCTCCCTATGAGTCTCTCTTTGTTTTGCTGTATCAGCATGTCAATACGCTCAAGCAGTGCGCTCTCACAGTCGATATGCTGCTCTTTTTGCGCCTATGTTGCGACTCCCAGCACTCACCACGCTTTCATTGAACCCCATGATACGCACCGTGCGACCCAGATATCATTTGCCAGTCAGCTCTGGCGCCTTTAGATTGTGTCAGAATATGTATCGTATAGAGAAAAGCCAGGTGCGGAGTCCTACAAGAAAACCGAGCAAAACCAGCGCTTGCCGCTAACAACACTGTACGAACGGTCTTGATGGACGGGCTGGTATCGGCGTGTTCTTCTCGCTTGCAGTTCTTCAGGCTCAGCCTCTTCAAACGGGAAGTCCTACGTGACCAGCGCAGTCAGATGAAGGACGGCAGGACAACTGTGATTTACCTCTGGAGAACGAGCACGATAACCGCCGCGACAACAACCAAAGAGCTATCGTGGTCCTTACGCGTGGCCACTCACTGATCAATAAGAAGCGAGACGTCGACTTTGCCGCAGTGCAAGACGTCTCGACCATACAGGTCACTACCGGGCACACCACATCCATTGACTTGCTTTTGGCTTCTGCATGCTGATTCTTACTATCGAGGTGCTGTGCTACGAGCATATCCTCCTCCAACCGCCGTCGCGATCGTCTCTGCACCTACGCAGAGAGCCGAACTCGTTCCGTTGGCACGCTGCCAACCGATCCTAGACCCGCGCGAGGCAGACACACGAGACTCTCTTGCAAAGACTTTGAGCTCGAGCGCGAAGCTTAGAAGATACACCCACAGTTCAGAGCACTCAAAGAGGTTGCCGTTGAAGTTGGCAAGATTCGCGGATACGTGGAGGAATGCGAGTACACAGGAACTGCTGGGTACATGCACTTAGACGCTGTAGACCTTCTTGGCAGCCAGTGTCTCATGCGCTTGGAGGGATCAAAGGAGGTTCATGCGGAGATGGCGGTGTCTTGAATCGAGTGGGCAAGAACAAGGGCAATCGACATCATAAGTTCTCAAGTAGATCAATAGAAGTGTAAACATCGGTTAAATAACCAAAGCGCTATGCTACAAGAAACGGGTGTATATACACAAAAGAAGCGAAACAGTCGTCGTATCCAACGAACGAACCATCAAAAGGTAATCTCTCTCAGAAGAAGGGTATCCATCAAATCATATCATCCCCAGCGTGTTTGCTCAACGCTTACAAGAAAGAGCGAGCGTGGCGGCGAGCCTTGGAGGCAGAGCCGCTGGCCTTGCCCTCCAACCAGGTGATGAAGGTGTCGATGGTGAAGCTCTCGGGGAGGGCGTCACCGCCGGTGGAAGGAGCAGCCGAGGGAGTAGCGGAAGGAGCAGTGGAAGGCTCGGCCTCGGGGGTAGCGACAGGGCTGGCGGAAGCAGCCGGGGCGGAAGGGCTGGCGGCGGGTGCAGAGGGGCTGCTGCTGGCGCTGGGAGCAGCGGAAGGAGTGCTGGGCTTGGTGGGAGTGGTGCCGTTGCTGGGAGCGCTGCCAGAGCCGCCGGAGCCGAAGAGGGGAGGGCCGGGGACGGTGTAGTCGATGTTGGCGCCGTAGGGGCTGAAGAGGATACCGGGGTCGGTGGGAGTGTAGAGCTCAGTGCCGATAACGCCCTCTGGGGTCTCGGTTCCGGAGCCAGTAACCTCAATGTTCAAGCCTGGAGATTCAATTAGTGATTGGTCTTCATGTGATTAGTGGGGTATTCTTACATTGAGGGTAGTTCTGGGCGCCGTTGACGTCACCACCGCCGTGGAGGGCAATGATCTCGTGGCGGAAGACGTACTTGCCAGCGGCAAGGCTCTCGGGGACAGTGACGGGCCAGGTGTTGTTCTGGCCAATCATCTTGACGGCAGCCCACTCGCCGTTCTCGTAGCCAACACCGTCGATCTTGGTCCACTTGAGCTCCTCCTTCTTGACGGCGGTAACGTCGCCAGTGTAGGGAGCGACGTAGGTGATGACGGGACCGACGTGGCTCTCGGGCCAGGTGCTCCAGTGGAACTCAACGGTGCCACCGGCGGCGACCTTGGCCATGCTGTCGGAGCTGCCCTCGGGGCTGGCGGCCTTGTGGCAGATGATGTCGGCATCGCCGAAGGAGTTGGGCTCGACGAAGCCGTTGTCGAGGTTCTCGGCGTACCAGCCAATGTGCTCTGGGACCTGGCCGCCGTTCTGCTTGGCGTAGTAGTAGTCGAGGCTGAAGCCCTGCTGGAAGACACCGTCGATGGTGACGCCGTTGACAATGCCGTGGGCAGTGGCGGTGGCAGCGAGAGCCGCGATGGCGCTGAGGGAGGTAACGGTGTTGTACATGTTGACTGATGTAGATGGAGTTCTTCGAAAGAATGGAGTTGGTAGGTTCGATAGAGACGAAAGTTCGAAAGTGGTTGAAAGAGTGTCTGCCGGCTTCACACAGTGAAGGACTTGATGAACGAATGTGAGTTGAAAAGAAGGGACTGGTATAGAACCGAAGATTGAAGCTGTAGCGATGGTACTTAGAGTGAGGTACCAGGTGGCCTATTTATTCAGTTCAGTCTCTGCTCCTACAAATGCTCGGCATGCATCGACCCACATCCTGGGCGACTCGCAAAATGAGAGCCCAGAATGGTGGGTTCATGCCGGGCGCGCAGGAATATGCATCCCGCGTTGTTTGAATCGCCATGTTTCCTGTTGCGGAGAGACAAGCGACATTGTCAGGATGCGCAGGCCGTTTCTTGCCTGCAGCCAAGAGCCATCCCACGGCTCCGGACCAGTTCCAGAATCACTGCGCCCTGCCACAATCCAGTTCTCGGTCTTCGGTATGCATCGTACGCAGCGTATTCGTCGTCATGAATCGTTCCGGTCGGCGTTGTTGTGGTTTCGGGTTCGAGCGATAACGTGCAGCGGGGCCGCGCGAAACGTGCATCCCGCGTGTTCCTGGATCCGCCCTTGCATAGTAGACGCCGCCAAGAGCTTAGTTGTTTCTGTCAAACGAGGTGCCGAGGAACGCCGCATTTTGTGGCGCCTGTCAGATGTCTAGATCCGATCGTGCTGGGTTGGTAGATGTGGTGTTGATGAACGGTAGGGTTGATGTTCATGCCCTCGATCGATGGCGGGCTTGAAAGGTACGTCAGTAAGACGGTCCGGCTGCCGAACCCAGCTGCCGCGACCTCATCATGTCATCCCATCTCCAAGACACTCCGACCGCCCAAATTTGTCGCATGCAACACCAAGCTTCCTTCGATCCTGCACAATATCCACACCGATGTTGTCGACTCGTCAACTTCGCGCGCGCAACCGTTATGCACCCCTGACAGCGCAACCGATCCTTGGGGCCCACCACCGAACTTCGCGTGTGCAGCCTGGTTTCAGACGTGAAACGGCCAATATTGCCCCCAATGGTAGTGAGCGGAGATGCGCCTAGATCGAGGCAGGCGTGTTTGACGACATCGTCGTCGATATTAATCAAGTCGGGTATTCGGGGGCGGCGCTTCTTGGACGGCTGGCGGTGCAACTGCATGTCAGGCGCGGCGCCGTCGACTTTAACATCTTTCTACCTCTGTCTTTAACCGTTCTGCCTTTTAGGCTGTCCATGTATATGGTGTGGGCCTGAGGCTGTTTCTTCTTCTCTATGTCTCAAACGTAGCTCGTGATGAACATCCACAGCAGGTTGGTATGACGGAGTGCCGTCTCTCATCTATTCCAGTGCGTACCTTTCGATCAGTCTCATAGTGTGCTGCAGCCGGAGTCTACCTGGCCCTTTCCAAGCAGTTATACTGCGTTTCTTTTTCTGGGGCGTAGACCCCATCTCCACCGCACATATTGCCAATACTCCTCTTCAGATCTCCCTGTATACGTGAGGCTAGGTTGTTCGCAACTATCTGTCAATGTAGCGTCCTTCAAAGACCTCCCGGGTATGTCGTTTCGTCGTTGTTTCCAAGGTGAGGGTGTGACGTAGTCGCAATGTCCGTCTGGCAACACCAAAACACCGCACTGGGCAGCCAGCATCTCAGTATCTCAGCATGGCATGCACCTCCAGGCACTGTCATTACAATCTACCCGTCACCGCAAAAGTCCTCGTGTACCTCCACGCTATCTCATCGTACTGCTGTCTCTCAAGTCAGAATACAATGTGCCCTCCCCGCCGCCCTCACTTATCCTACATATACCGCATAAACCCTCTATATTCCATCGAAACAACTCAACCCGGGTCTCTTAGTGGAGTGGTAACACGTTCACCAACAGTTCCTGTGAGTACAGAGTGTCAGTTGACGCTGGCACCATCAGTGTCCCGGTCACTTGACTGGTGATAGCTGTGCTTTGCAGTGTTTGTGAGAGACGCTTGTTCGACTCAAGCAGAGACCAAGTATATCATCTTTTTTTGCTAGATTCAATTACGTACGTAAGATAAGGTGAAGGCCAACGGCGTTTGCGTGGGTGTGCCGCTCCAGTTATGATTTTCGTCGACAGTATGTTTGGGGTGAAGGACAGTGCTTTTCTTTGCCGACGTTGTCTTCAGTTTTCCACACAACTTCGAATAATTCTATATGTATTATGGAGCCAGCTCTCTCTTCATCAAAACACACCAGGCTTCTTGGTCTAATGGTATGACGACACAGACCGACAGGTTCTCCGTCAAGGTCATTTGTATAGTATGTGTATTGAAGGTAACTTCGGACCTGCTTGGAATGCCATCGTGACGCGCCCTACTTGTGTAGATCAAGGTTCGATCCCTTGAGAAGCTATCATTTTTTTGCTTGTGTAGACGTCCCAGATCATGTCTACATCGGCTTGCTTTTTGCTCAAGGTCTGGGCAACTTTCTCTTTTGAGGAATACGACGGCGATAGAGGTTGAGTATCTATATCTCACGACGTCTATGTAGACCCTACGGTTCTTTGTACCTTGTTGTTGCGCTGGTCATGGTCTTTTTGTATCCTTTAAAGCTTGTTGTGGTATGGCACGCGTTGATTGAAAAGTATACGTAAGCGGCTACTCCAACCACGCCTGCAGACCGCCAACCAGCAAAACAGCAATACCCAACACCCATTGCGCAACGCCAAATGCACCTTGTACATCGCCCTTCCTAACCGTCCACAGAATTGCGAATACCGCACTACCCAAACCGCAAACGCCCATGGTCACTGCCCACACGCGCTGCGCAAGGAACCCCTCCACAAGATGAACGCCCCAGCCCATACCGAACTCCAACCGCTGCCTCCGCTTCGGACTGCGAAGATACGTGATGAGCTCGCCCTCATAGTCCTGCGGGTGCTTGAACAAATGGAGGAGATACGTGCTACCAACGGGCGGCAGAAGGTCGTTGGGCTCGAAGGTGTACGGATGCTGAGACGGCGCTGCAGACTTCTCTGGTTCGCTGGTCGAAGCTGATGAGGCAGCGGACTTGGGAGGCATAGACGGTGTCGCACGGATATCAGCGAAGCGATTGCGATGGACTTCGAATTGAACAAACTCGATGGTCGTCAGCCCGCGAAGACGAGCCCAGTTGAACCAACGGCGGTTGAGCTGGTCGTAATGCTCTCGCAGCGCGAGCGCAAGGTCTTTGTCGCTTCTTACGCGCCCTTCGTTGACATCGAGATGGACGATCTTTGGTGTCAGTCGACCCTCATTCGCGCAAGTCAAAAGCCAGGATTCCTGGACGAAGGATGGCATACGGACACTGAAGGGGTTGCTGGCGGCGGTACGCGACGGGCTATACTTGGAAGGGTCGCTGCCTCTAGTCCAGGAGTTAGGCCCACCGTATGTCGACGACGGCGTGGTCAATGTGGACGCTCTGCTCGACGAGTCAAAGATGGAGGCCATCGATGACGATGTGCTGCTTTGGCTGGTAGGACTATGTGGTGTATGAGCTCTTGGGCGATTGAGATAAGCTTCAAGAAGGCGGGCAGCATTGGGTCGCTGTTCGATGAAGTCGTCGTACAATGGCTCACCACAGGACTACATCTTGTCAGCATGGTCCAGAGAAAGGGTATGCTGAATCACTAACGCAATTCCATCGCACCCGCACATGCCCCTGCGGCACGGGCGGTTCAGTACCGAATGTATCACGAAGCAATCGAAAACCTTCATAGGCTTTGTCCGACAAGGCACTCAATGCAAGTCCCCAGTACCTCAATGTTGTGTTTCGACCCTCAGAAGATGCCATCCGTATTTCTGCTTCCGGAGGTAGCGGTATCTCGCCAACATGATCGTCAATCGATGGCTCAACAATGGTGGGCACTACAGGCTTTTCGAATCTATCATCAAGATCCTCATTCCCTGACTCAGTTTGATCTAAAGCTCTTCTTAACGCTTCACGGAGCTCATCTGCACGACCCACTCCTGCCGACTGGGGTGATAGCAGTGCATTGGCGTCCTCAGTATCTATTGACGAAGAAGATGATGATGCGTGCTTCCGTATCCTAGGTGATCTCTTGCGGCGCGTCGCTGGCGACACATGAGCTGACTTGGTCTGAGGTACGTCGGTGTTCAGCCGTAAACCATGTTTGGGTCGAGATGGAATATGTAGGTCGTCCGCTGATACGTGGCGGAGATGCCGCGGCTTGGGCGCACTCGTATGTCGCACTGGTTGCGACCAGGTGGCATACTCATCATCCGCTAGATCAACACCACTTGACTGTCGAGACACCGGACGGATGCGTTGGCGTAGATTAGTCGAGTTCACCAAATCGTCTACCACTTGACTATCGGATGCAAAGGCTGTCGGTCCTACGCGACGCTTGACGGATTTGTGAGCGTCCGATCGCTTGAGATCTAAGGTCGCTGCACGGCTTTTCACTCGGGGACGCGTCCGCTTCTCGACACGCTTTCTCACAGGTCCAACAAGTGACAAGCCGCGGGTTGGCGTCTTCACGATACTGGACACTGAGGCTGACCGGGTAGGAAACATTGATGGGGTCTGAGACGACGGTTCTGCATCAGTCTGGTCTTCATCCATACGGTCGTATATCGAGCGGATGTCTGGTATCAGAGTCTCAGCATCACTGAAGCCATCCTCTGCAATCGAAGACCGGGCTAGACTATTGCGCGGCAGATGACTCCTTGTTGGAATCGTAGAGGGCGGTGTCCGTTCAATGCCTGAGGTATTGGAACTTCCGATCTCGAAGATATCGTCGCGACCCAAAAGACTGTCGGTATTTGATGCAACAGCTGAAGGGGGAGAATACAGCTCCGCAGGCAAAGTCGCCGAGTCAAGCTCTGGAGTCGCAAATTCCCGTTCTGAGCCAACCGGTTGACCCAAATCAACTTCGGCAATCTCATTCGAATCAGTTGAGCCTTTCAACAAGCGCACCACGTAGCCCTTTCCCTTCTTCTTGATCCTGGCCTTGATGTCGGTAAGTCGTTTGGATTGGGTGGAAGCCGTTGAGTCGCTCCGCGAGAAGGAAACATTCCAATCCGGCACTACCTTTTTGAGAAAGTCAGGAGGCACATTGTCCAGATCGGCCCAGCCTTGCCTGTCGTGAAGAGGAGTGCTTGGCGGACTCGTCTTTTGAGGAACTGAGCTCTCGACACTAGACTTCAAGCCATCTCGTAGGGTCGCAGACGCGGCAACATTAGGTGCACAACTCAGAGGCACACCGATCGACGATTGCTGTTTCGGGCCCAGGTTGAAGACGAGCTGGAATTGGCCAGGATTGCGTGCATCTTCCTGGAGATTGAGAGTGAACGGCACCGATTGCGTCTTTTCGTATTGTGGAAGAGGCGTTTCGCGCCCCGCATCAGACGTCTTTGGATCATTGCTCATCAGATGTTGTTGATTGAAGCGCAAAGGCACAGGAGAAGCGATTGAAGAAGCCTATCGCGATGCAAGAGTCAGCCACCAAGACCGTCGAATGTCCACTTCAGCCTTGCGATGACAAAGGGTTGCCCTGCCTGAAATCTGAGAGCCATACAGACTTACCATGTTCGCATAATGTTCACGCCGCGATGCAGGAACAGTCGCCTGAGGGACGCAGAGAGGGGCGACATCTTGCTGGTTTTGACCGGTCCAGGCTGCAGTCAGCTGTAGATTCGACGAACCGGAGAGGACTGCTGCGGTCGTTCCTGCACTGCCACCACTGCTGCAGAGCGATCAACGAGGCTGTCGTGCCGGCCCGCTGATTGGCGAACTTCATCAGCCGAAGGCAGCCAGCATCACATGCGTGGGTTGCCTCATCTCTATCTGTCTTCTTAACTCTGCCTTACCCGCTGAAGCGTGGATGTACGATTGCGCAGCCTCGATGCATTGTAGTACCTGCTTCTTGCCACCAGACGCGTCGCCGATGTCGTCTTTCTGTGCAAACCTCCTACGCGTCACGCTCTGACACGCCGCCGGAACTCAACAAACCCATTCGATCGTGTACCAGACGAGATGCGCATCGCATCATCGCTGAATGAAATGCGCAGTCCGCATCGATGATGTTGAGATAGACTTCGTGGCTCGAGGTAGCGAGCTGTCGCGTTCCATGGCACCCGTGGACGCGCCTTCCCGCTGCCAATGCCGTGCGTCATGCCACACCCATCTCCCACTTCCAGCCCCCCTCCGACATATACATACACCACCACAACACAACTGCGGCATACCTCCGATCTCCAAGATCTTGGCCATGATGCTCCGGAGAGACTCTCGTCACATGCTCTCATCATTCTTCCGGACCAATCTGTTCAGAGTTCTTCCTCCGCGCCTCGGCACATTCGATGACTAGGTATTAGCTAAGTTGGCTAAGGCTTGCTCGGTGTATAAACTACCGCTTTCCCCGCAAGACACGAAGATCCTTGTTCCCCACAATTACTCCGGACAGCGGTCTCCAGATTCCCGCCATTGAACGACGTGTTTTTTGCGGAGAGCAAGGATGCTTGCCATGTGTGGCAGGGCGACATGACGTTAAACGGGCAGACTCCGAGAACTACCTCGCACCACCGACCGGGAACGAAATATCGATCACATGGTAGTATGGTAGATCCCGGTTGACTGGCCGGTAGAGTGGCATTGGCATTTGTTTATATACTTTGTTGATGCCGGCTGCTGTTTTGGCTTCATCTTGCACATCTCTCAAGCCTTCAAGATGCGTCTCTCTACCCTCTTCCTGTCGCTGATCAGCGTCGCTACGACCGTTTCTGCGCACCCGAAGAAGGCGGCACAGCCTACCTTCTCTCGCAATGTGATCTTCTCACCACCCAGGGACGCCAACTGGACCGACCCCGGTGTCCTTTATGCGCGTAGTGCCCAGCTCTCTGACGGTTCACTCCTCGCAACCTGGGAGAACTACTCGCCCGAGCCACCAAAGGTCTACTTCCCCATCTTCAAGTCAACCGATGGCGGAAAGTCGTGGAAGGAGTTCTCGCGCGTGCAAGACACAAAGAACGGCCTCGGTCTGCGCTACCAGCCATTCCTCTACGTTCTTCCTGAGGCAATTGGCGGCTACAAGGCCGGCACCGTCCTCATCTCTGGATCCTCTATCCCCACCGATCTCTCAACCACCGACATCGTTCTATACGCCTCCAAGGACAGCGGCAAGACCTGGGAGTTCGTCTCCTCGATCGCCAAAGGTGGCGAGGCTCGTCCCAACAACGGCCTTACTCCCGTCTGGGAGCCCTTCCTGATGATGAACAAGAAGACTCTCATCTGCTACTACTCCGACCAGCGCGAGAACGCCACCTACGGCCAGAAGATGGTTCACCAGACCACCACCGACCTCAAGACCTGGGGCGCAGTCATTGACGACGTCACCTACCCCACCTACACCGACCGTCCTGGTATGCCCACAGTCGCCAAGCTCCCCAACGGAAAGTACATCATGACCTACGAGTACGGTGGCGGACCCGCCATCACCACCTCATACCAGTTCCCCGTCTACTACAAGATCGTGTCCGACCCCGAGAAGTTCGGCGAGGCCACCGGTATCAGCCTCAAGTCCACCGACGGCACCATCCCCACTGGTTCTCCATACGTTGTCTGGAGCTCTGCTGGCGGCAAGAACGGAACCATCATTGCCAGCGCACACAGCAACTCGGAGGTGTTCATCAACAAGGGTCTTGGAGAGGGCCCTTGGGTCAAGGTTGCTACTCCTGAAGCAACCTCATACACTAGGCATCTCCGCGTCCTCAAGGACCAGTCTAAGTTGTTGATTATGGGTGGCGGAGAGCTGCCTCCTGCCAGCAACAACTCGGTTACTGTTACTGTTGTTGACATTAGCAAGTGGTAGAGGAGAACAAGTGAAGTAAAATTAGTAGCAATGGCATACATATGAAGTTCTAAATATTCTAACGCATTGCCACGTGCTCTTGATGTCGTACAATAATTTCAGCATCGGCAGTGATATAAGTATACTCAAGCATGCAAGTACATTTCCTTCCGTCTAAGATACCTAGGTATGATCCATGTCTGTGGGCTGGCGTCCGGCAGAGTTCTGATGCTTCGTATGTAGCTTGATGTGCAAAAATGGGAAGTCACAGTACCAATTAACATATCAAACAACGACAAACGTGCGAAAGCACCTCTGTTGGAAGCATTGATTAGTCGTCTCCAGCATCGGATGGAACCGTTTCGTAGTATCGACTGTGTAGTTCTGGACGGTCCATGAGGCATGTAGGCAGTGCAAACCAGGTGAGGCTATCAAGATTGACGATACCGATAGCTTCATACCACATTCAAGAAATAATTGCGAATGCGCGCCTAAGCAATGACGATGGTCGCGTGTCAATGTTCGCAGTCTCAAAGAGTGATGGTTCGCGAACCCCGCCTAGCGCCCCACTAGCGCCGGCCCGACCATTGTTCCTAAGCGAGCCACCGTGGGTCGCTGAATTTGGCTCTCGCGATAATCTTCGAACGCCGCAGCATTCAACGACAAGCCCACGGAACCGCCTCTCTCCACCTCCCAATCCCAAACCAATACCGCAATCATGCCCGGAGTTTCCGTCAAGGACATCGAGTCCCACAAGTTCGTGGCCGCCTATGCCGCCTTCTTGAAGCGCCAGGGAAAGCTTCCCATGTAAGTTTTGGCCTTGCGCAAAACCACACGATGTCAAATGCTAACGTCATATCAGTCCAGGTTCGTCTCTATCCAGCGGGTGAAGGATGAAGCCTGAATCCCGTAAATGGGGGATAACCTCAGTTCGCTGACCACTTATCTACAGGCTGGGTTGACACTGTCAAGACAAGCCGTAAGCAATCAAATCTCTCCACCCATACGAGGAACCCTCAGACTGACATGCGCAGACTCCAACGAGCTTCCTCCCCAGGACATTGACTGGTTCTACGTCCGCGCCGCCGCTGTCGCCCGCCACGTCTACATGGTATGCAGAATGCCCACAACGAACACATGAAGGGACGGAATGCTGATGAATTGCACAGCGCAAGACCGTCGGTGTCGGCCGCCTCCGCAAGGTCCACGGCTCAACCAAGAACCGCGGTTCGCGCCCCTCCCACCACGTCGACGCCTCCGGCTCCGTCGACCGTAAGGTCATGCAGGCTCTCGAGAAGATCGGTGTGCTCGAGCAGGACGAGGACAAGGGTGGCCGCCGCATCACACAGTCCGGCCAGCGTGACTTGGACCGTATCGCTCAGACCACTCTCGAGGCTGAGGAGGAGGAGGATGACGAGTAGATTATCACCTTCTACGCGGATTATGTGTAAAAGAGCTGTCTAGCATTTGATTGCGGGGCGGCATTACGGATCTACCACGGTTTACGGCTTATGGCGTTGAAAGACATGATTGAGTCGGGCCTGCTTTTAGCCTAGGACTTCCAATGACACTGGGCTTGGGCCTCAAAAGCAACATGATACCCTTACCTTCGACATTCGTGCAAATCGCTCCTGGTACTGTGATTCCGCCATTGCTATGATCTCGCTTTCTCGTTGAAGTTCATGCGCCCTTGACCATGTCATGTCCAGGAACATACATTGCATATGGTCTGTTAACTTGTCGTGCAAATGCCAATTAATTGCCAATATCTGCAAGATGCAGTACTCTCTATGCTCAGACTCCTCCACATACTCCTGGTGCTCCCCTCAAAACAGATCCGTCATAGCACCATGGCTCGCATCCCCCACCAACCTCGCATACTTCGCCAGCACACCCCTCGTGACGGGCATACTGGGCGCCACCCACTCTCTCAACCGCCTATCAATCTCCTCCTGAGGCACATCCATATCAATACGGTTCTTCTCCGCGTCAATCGTAATCATATCACCATTCTGCACGACGGCAATAGGCCCACCAACCGCAGCCTCAGGACAGATATGACCAACGATGAAACCATGAGAAGCGCCAGAGTACCGTCCATCAGTGATGAGAGCTACGTTGGTTAGTTTAGCACCCATAATGGCAGCCGAAGCTTTGAGTTGTTCAGGCATGCCAGGACCGCCTTTGGGGCCTTCGTAGCGGACGACTACGACGACGTTTTCGCCATGCGGAATTTGGCCTAGATTGAGGGCGCGGTCGAGCTCGTGCTCTTTGTTGAAGACAATGGCTTTTCCAGTGAAGATGAGGCCTTCTTTACCCGTGATCTTTGCGACGGCGCCCGAAGGCGCGAGGTTGCCGCGCAGAATCTCGATGTGGCCGGTGGGTTTGATGGGGTTGGACAGGGGCCGGATGAGGACTTGGTCTTGGGGGAGGGACGGGTAAGATTCGATGTTTTCGGCTAGGGTTTTGCCTGTCACGGTGGGGATGCTGCCGTCGAGTAGGTTGGCTGCTACGAGCAATTTCATGACGGACGGCATGCCGCCGATGTCGAAGAGGTCGGCGGCCATGTACTTTCCTGATG